ACCAAAAAAAAAAAAAAAAAAAAGAATCCATGGGGTAAGTGAGGGCTGCAGACATGTATGAGCTTGTTTCTGAAACTTGTGCGATTTTTAAACATTAAAACACCATCTGCTGCCGGGCTACCCTCCAGCCTGAGACCATCTTGACATCAAGGGCTGGCATAGCAGAAGCGCAAATGAAGCCAGAAAGACATAAGTGTCCAGAGAAAGAAAGAAAGCTGAGGGTGGGCTGGGGAGAAGCGATGGAACAGCAGGACAAACTGGCCACGGCCAGCAGCGTCCCCCAACGGGCAGCTTGCTGCATGTTCAGGCAACCAGGCAAATATCATATGATATCGGCTCTATGCGGAATCTAAACAAAACTGACACATATGAACTTATTTACAAAACAGAATCAGACTCACAGGCTTAGAGAACGAACTTGTGGTTACCAGGGGGGAGGGATAAATATGGAGTTTGGGATTGACTTATACACACTGCTAGATATAAAACAGATAACCAACAAGGACCTACTATAGAGGACGGGGAACTCTACTCAGTACTCTGTAAGGACCTCTATGGGAAAAGAATCTAAAAAAGAGTGGATATTTGTACACGTATCACTGATTCACTCTGCCGTACATCTGAAACTAACACAACACTGTAAATCAACTATATTCCAACAGAAGACAGAAATTTAAAAAATTTAAAAGAAATCAAAGAAAAACATATTCAGGCTGTCAGGGCTGGATTGTATGGGAGGGATGGACAGGCACTTTGGGGACGAAGGTCACCTTCCGCAGCTGCCTCCTGCGGGCTGGATACGGGAGGCTTGACCCTACACAGCTGCCAATGCTGCCCATACATCTCCGGAGTGATGGGTGCATATCAGGAAACGCTCCGCCAGGACAGAAGCAGGGCTCAAACGCAGCGGGTCCGTCTTCCGTTCAGCCTTCGTGCAGCAGGGGTTAGGTTTTATACGTGCTGCAGTGCAAGGCTTCAGGGGCACCAAGTCGAGTGGGAAGGACAACCTCTCACATCCGTGTCCGCTCCCTGAAGACAGCACCCTAGCCACCAGATTGTAAAGATCTGCGAGAAGCAACAGAACTGCCACTTGTTTAAAAAAAAAAAAAAAAAAAAGATACTGAACCCAAATTAGGGCCAGCACACTACGGACCTGGGGCCAAATCTGGCCCATCGCTTAAACAGCCATGCACTTTAAGTATTGGCCGTTGCTGCTTTCCTGCTGTAAGGGCAGAGCTGATCAGCATGAGAGACTTAAGATAATATTTATCATCCAGCCTATAGCAGAACAAAAACGTACCAACCCCTGATCTAAACCTTAGATGACCGTTTATTAAGAATTATGAATAAAGAAGGATCCTCCACCAAAATAGTATTTTGAAACAGTAGGAACTAAGGTACTGTGAACAGATGGGAAACTGAATAATTCATGCATTCTTAGCAACACTAATGGGCTGGACTCGGACCCAGATTATCACTTCAATTCTTCAGCAAGTAATTGATTATTCTTTAAATATTCATGGCTTCGGGACTGAGAGTGTGGAATTGATTAAACCCATCTCTTAATCTGTGTTTAATAGAAAAATGCATTCTGCCCAATGATAATGTTTCATTAAGTGACCTTGTCTCCAGCTGTCATGTAAGAAGAAAAACTGTCCCTCTCAGGATATATTCAACTATCCCCTCAAAGACACACAGAGGCAGTAAGACTCCCTACGTGACTGGATTGACAAGGGAGGGTCAGAACTGTGTCCCTCGGGGAAAGTTCAATCAGGGACATCAGAATGTTAGTGGGAAAGGAGACACAAGTGGGTGAGGATGTGCTGTCTACTCTCTGTTTAATTCGAGAAAAGTAGAAATTTGGTGCTGACGGATACCATACCTGATGCTCAAGAAACATCACCTCAAGGAGGTGATACCAGTCAGGGCTCCAGTCCTCAAACGCATGGGTACCCAGGCTTGCTCACATATGCTCAGTGCCCGTGTCTGCAGTACATACTCATCACCCAGCTAGACCTCATCCTGACCTTCCCTCTAGATCTCCTCGTGACCTAACCCTCTAGACTTCCTCATGAGCTAAAACCACCACACTGAGGCAAAAAGCACAGAAATGGGGCTCTTTTTATTCCTGTCTTCCAACATCACCTAGTTTCACTAGGAATTAAGAAGATGAAGATGTCTGCAGTGCAGAGATCACAGGGGCAGAGACACCCAGCACTGGATGCCAGCCTCCCATCTTTGCTCAGACTAGAAAGTTCCTCCTGGATTGCTCCACCAGCATCTTTCCACCACTAGCCCAGGTCCAGCCGGTCCTCAGAGGGGATGTATGGCTCTTCCTTTTCAAGAGCTGACATCACTTTGACCAAGTCTTCCAAATATCGGCAGAAATCCAAGACATGGAAGGCTTGTCATGTCTCTAATGAGACAACACAGGCTGCCCCACCATGGAAAGTCAACAAATCAGGGGGTTAGAGCCCATCACCATCTCACAGTCTCCCTGCAGTCTTGAGATCTGCTCCCACCCTCTGCTCCCACATCCTACCTCCTTGATATTCTCAGGCCCCAGAGAGACATAAACAGATCACAGAGGTGCTAAAGTTGATAAAGGAGCTCCAGATATACATTCTCAGATGCATCCCCTCTCCCACAAGACCTCCTGGTCTGCAACCAACCCATCTTCATCTAAGGGGAGTTACGGATAGTGATAAAGTTGGTAATTTCAAGTTCAGAAACTTTTAATATGTCCACATCTATCAAGAGAATAGGACTTACCCGGGGGGAAAGGCAGAGAGCTGGGATGAACTGGGAGATTGGGATGGACATATATACACTATTGATACTGTGTATAAAATAGCTAACTAATGAGAACCTACTGTATAGCACAGGGAACTCTACTCAGTGCTCTGTGGCGACCTAAATGGGAAGGAAATCCAAAAAAAGGGGATAGGTGTATATGCATAGCTGATTCACCTTGCTGTACAGCAGAAACTAACACAACAGCGTAAAGCAACTATATTCCAACAAATAATTTTTAAAAAGACTTATTGAAAGAGGGGGGAAAAAAAGAAAAAGAAAACACACACACACAAAAGAAAACAGAGAATGGGACTTAGCCATATTCCTGATGAGAAGAACCCCTCAATGGAGACAAAGAACAGTGAAGCAGACTAAGAAGGGACCTACTGCTCCCAAAGCAAGACAAATGTGGGCCATTCCACAGACCCCATCACACATGAGAGACAGATGGTTATGCGAAAAAGGGAATCGCCATAAGAAACTGCAGTCTTTGAAAAGAGAGTGGAACATGGGACAGGCCATGAAATGGAAGAAATTGTAATGGTGCAGTCAGGTTTTGCAAAAGCAAAAACAAGTTCAAATGTAAGGGCGTGAGGGAGGAGTTGTGTGTGCCCAGGTAAGCCCCACCCCTCCAAGAGCAGAGGGCTACACTGGACCCCTGGGGATGTCCCACATGGGACTCAGGGCATCTGTAAGTTCCGATGGGGAAGAATGGACATCATCACCGTCCATTCGGCCTCCAAGGGAACGTGGACGAGACAAAGAGGACAGGATGGACAGGATCTATGGCTTGGCCACCAGTAGAAGCCCCATTCTCCTATCAGGGTTCAGTTCTTGAAGATGTCTTGAAATAAGGTCTCAGATCCTCATAGCAGGACTTCCCCGGTGGCGCAGCGGTTAAGACTCCACGCTCCCAATGCAGGGGGCCCGGGTTCGATCCCCGGTCACAGAACTAGATCCCACATGCATGCCGCAACTAAGGAGCCCACCTGCCGCAACGAAGGAGCCTGCCTGCCGCAACTAAGACCCGGCGCAACCACAGGAAAAAAAAAAAAAAAGATCTTCGTAGCTGCAAATCGGAGGGGTTACTAAAATCATAGAAGATCCCATTATTTGTTGTATAAAAGACGTAATGTGTGCAATTATGCGGCAATTATTTCCTTATATCCTTTTATACCTGCATTTCAATACAATTGGTTGGTACTATGATGGATTTCAGTTTGTGCACTGAGGCCTCACTAGATGTGAAGGTCTTCAGGGACCAGAAAAGGGGGAACCTGGCTGTGGGTGGAGCTTATGGACAGACCCACAAAGGAGAAAGATTCGCTTGTGTTTAAATCCACAGCCCCAAGTGCTGTGTCTGAGCTGTAATCATCCTTCAACACACGATGGAGGAAAAACGAGAGAAAGGAAGAAATGAATCGATAATGAATGAATGAAGGGCTGTGGTTAATATTTTAGAAAGACTGAAGTGAAAGCAATCCCTAACACCTAAAACCAGACCTGCAGTACGATTCTCATAAAAACGGACACCATAAAAGGGATTAACTGAATCCAGATGATGTCAGGAGAAGCATGATCAATATTATGGCCTTTTTTCAAAGCTCATCTCCCCATATCATTTTTTCCAGCTGATTTAAACTTCCACCTCCAGCTGAATGGGAATGTTCACAAATGTAAAATGAGCTCACTTGAACCGTCTTCACTTTCCTAGCAGAAGAAAGTCCCTTCATTTTCAAAGAGGATTTAGGGACCGAAATAAGCCATTAGAAAGTTTCAGAAAGAAAAAGGGAAACACAGAGAGTTCCGGTTCAGAATCTGAAATGCAGAGGCTGTTCAGATTCTGTTGGGAGCTGAATCATGACATCGCAACGTCATATGTTGAAGCCCTGACCCCCAGGACCTCAGAGTGTGGCTGTATTTGGAGATGGGGGTCTTTAAAGAGGGGATGAAGGTAAAATGAGGTCATTAGGGTGGGTCCTGATCCCACAGGACTGGTGTCCTTATAAGAAGAGATCAGGACACAGACACACACAGAGGGACGACCCTGTGAGGACACAGGGAGAAGACGGCCGACTACATGGCAAGGAGAGAGGCCTCAGGAGGGACCAGCCCTGCCCACGCCTGGATCTCAGATTCCAGCCTCTAGGACTGGGACAGGAAATATGTTTGTTGTTTAATCCACCCAGTTTGTCCTATGATTTGTTAGGAGAGGTCTGGCAAACTCATTCACATTTATTGTTGTTTACTGCAGTGAATCACACAGGGAAAAAAATATATGATCCATATCACAGCAGAACCTCGACTCCCGTCCAAAAAAAAAGCACAACACAATTTCCTGTCTCTTTCAGTTTTGGAGTATTCACCCTTACGCCTTCTGCCCTTGTTGGATCTGGAAGCACATCAATATTTCCATACACATAGAAGCAAGCAGCTGCGTATCTCCCGCTCGCTCTAAGATACAAGGAGTTGTAAAAGTGAATCATCACCTATGATAACGTGCATGCCCAGTTTGGCCAGATGCTTCGCTGTCGAATATCCAATTCCATCAGTCCCGCCGGTCACTATAGCAACACGCTCGAGTTGTAGGGGGAAAACTGCAGGAGAAAAGAAAAAGAAACCGAGGTAAAGGTTTAGCAGCAGAGCACACATTGATGAGAATGAAGTCGCAAAAGAGGGCATGATGCCAACGGGAGTTGTGGTTTGACATTTGTGGGTTTGCTCTTCTGAATTCCTACAGGCTCGGGATGCACGAGTGTAATACAGTGCAGTTGCCCTGAATAAGGACAGGCTGGTAAAGCCACCTGATAAATCCTTGCTCGGTCCCCGATGATACCTTTGCAGGAATTAACGCCGCCAAAATGATCTGCAGAGAGCTCCAGATAATGTCAATCGTTGACGGCTGTGGGTGAGAGTCCTGGGTTAATCCTCTCGAACCGTGTTGGTTGTGTTGTAAAGTGTAGGTTTTTTTTTTTTTTTTTTTTTTTTGCGGTACGCGGGCCTCTCACTGTTGTGGCCTCTCCCGTTGCGGAGCACAGGCTCCGGACGCGCAGGCTCAGCGGCCATGGCTCAGGGGCCCAGCCGCTCCGCGGCACGTGGGATCCTCCCGGACCGGGGCACGAACCCGTGTCCCCTGCATCGGCAGGCGGACTCTCAACCACTGCACCACCAGGGAAGCCCAAAGTGTAGGTTTTATACTTGTATGCATTTTCTCAAATGTAGTTAGGAAATTGCTTGTTATGGAGGGACGGCCCATTGTTTTCTACAAAGTCTGAAGACCATATGAGAATACAGAGTATCTTTTAAAAACAGAGAACATGATGACTCCTTTAACCACGCACCTTTGCATGAACCTACACATATGCAAAACGTATGAGAATATACGTTTACATGATGGTGTAAAATTGACTGTTTCTGACTCACACACAGAGAGAACAGACTCGTGGTGGCCAATGGGGCAGGGATTGGGGGAGGGATGGATTGGGAGTTTGGGGTTAGCAGATACAAACTATTATACATAGAATGCATAAACAACAAGTCCTACTGTAGAGCACAGGGAACTATACTCAATATCCTGGGATAAACCATCATGGAAAAGAATACAGAAAAGAATGTATATGTATATATAACGGCATCACTTTGTTGTACAGCGGAAATAAACACATTGCAAATCAACTATACGTCAATAAAATAAACTTTACTGTGTCTAAATAAAATCTTAAACTACCCAAAGTGTCAAAAACATGTTATTACACAAGATGAAATAATGCTTTACTAAACGTTAGACTTCTCTTTTTGACTCCATTTTAAAATTGTACTGTGCATTGTGTGACCAAAATTAAAAAGGGTATATTGTGATGTAAAAATAAAAAGAAGAAAGAAAGAAAGAGCGAGGGAGGGAGGGAGGGAGGGAGGGAGGGAGGGACGGAAGGAAGGAAGAAAGGATAAAGTGTAGGTTTTATTATTATTCAAGTATGGGGTGAGGCCAACAGGTCAGGAGACGACCAATATCGAAAAGACAGTTGATCACTCACAATTCCCAAGAGGAAGGGGCACAGCACACCATGCAGGGTTACACGGGGAAGCACCAGGGTTGGTCAGGAGACAAAGGGAAAGGGGGAAACGAGACAAGAGCCTTGCAGGAAGGAGCAGGTGAGGCAGGGTTAGGATGGGCTGGTGTGAATAATTTTCATCAGGTCCTGGCTGCGGAGGCTGCCCTTGTTGTCTGGTACCTGCCCTGGGGGGAATGAGGGCGGGTGGATGGTGGCCCAGAGTATGGGAGCCCCTTAGAGAAGGGGGTGGGGTGTGGCTCTGGATGGGTAGCTTTGTATCTGAGAAGCATGTTTACAGGTCGGTTATTTGCTATCTGTAGGAACTGGCTAGTCCTAGGAGCTAAAGCTCCTATAGGACCAAGGTGGCAAAGATGAATTTTGTATTTTTCCTGTCTCCTTTATTTCACTTTTTTTACACATTTTTTACTGAGGTAGAATTGCTATACAATATTTTATAAGTTTCAGGTGTACAACATAGTGATTCACAGTATCTTAAGGTTATACTCCATTTATAGTTATTATTAAATATTGGCTGTATTCCCTGTGCTGTACAATATATCCTTGTAGCTCTTTTTTTTTTGACCGTGCCACACAGCATGCGGGATCTTAGTTCCCCGACCAGGGATGGAACCCATGCCCCCTGCTGTGGAAGTGTGCACTCTTATCCACTGGACCACCAGGGAAGTCCCAGTAGCTTATTTATTTCATACACAGCAGTTTGTATCTCTTAATCCCCTACCCCTATCTCTCCCTTCCCCCCTTCCCTCTCCCCACTGGTAACCACTAGTTTGTTGTCTAGAAAAGGTAAACTTTTTAATGAATGGTGTGGGGACATCTAAAAAGACCTTTGAAAACAGATGAAATGAGATCCATACCTCCCAGGACACATCAAAATGAACTCCAAAAGGAAAAAAGCTAAACAATGAAAATATTCAAAGAAAGCAGGGACAAATTTATTCTCAACCTCAGAGTAGGAAATGCCTTCCTAATTCTAACTCAATATTGAGAAGAATAAATAGACCAATTTCACTCCTAAAAAAAGCGTACACAGTTTAAAAAACAAACAAACAAACAAACACCATAAGGACTTGCCTGGCGGTCCAGTGGTTAAGAGTCCACACTCCCAATGCAGGGGGTGCGGGTTCCGTCCCTGTCTGGGAACTAAGATCCCACAAGCCACGAGGTGTGGCCAAAAAAAAGAAGAAAAAAAAATCCTATCAAAAAATGAAAATTAAAACAACACCATAAGCAAAGTTACATTCAAAGGGCTATTTTCCAAGTATGTAAAGAGTTCTTAAAAATCAAGAAGAAGAGAAAAAAAAACAGCTCTACAGAGAAGGGCAAAAGCATTTGTTGATATAAAAACATACTGAAATGGCCCTTAAAAACACAGGCCCAAGTTTACACCTAATAAGAGAAATGTTAATCGTTAACGAAAACGGCTATAGATACCATGTCACCCATCAGGCTGGCGGAAGTTCAAAGACTTCAACAGCCCCATTTCTCTCACCTACAGCGTGGGTAGGAGTGCGAAACAGCGCAGCCCCCATTGGGGGAAACTGGGTAATATCTAGTGCAATTACATGTGCTTCTGTCGTTCGATCTCGAAAAATCACTTCTAGGAATCTGCCATGGAGAGACAAGGCCGGTTGCCAACGTGAAGCCAAGGTTCCGCAGGGCAGCACCTGTCTCTGCATAGAGAAGGATGGATAAACCACCTGCCACACCTGCATACAGCGGGGCATCCTTCCTCCCCACAACGGGGTGTCCTAGCCCATCCTGGGTCTCCACCATCACACAGGGAACACTGAGCAACCCCGAGCGGGCCAAGCTCAAGTAATAATTCCACCTGTTGGCCAGGAGTCAGGTTTGATCCACTTGTTAGAAAATCCTTCCAATAAGTGGGGACAACCTGTTGTCCATCGCTGCAGTGAGGCGTTGCTGCCGGTAACATGACGCAACAACCCTACAAAGAAAAGCCCCGAGAGGGATGCAGGGGCAGCGATATCTCCCGGGAGGCGCGGAGGACCGCCACTGCCCCCCCACGCCCGGGGAATATTCCCCATCGCCGCGTCCATCGGAAGA